ACAGGTGCCTTACTAGTAGTAACAGGTGCCTTACTAGTAGTAACAAGAAGCTACTAGGAACAAGTTAGGCCGTTAGGCCTGTCTTTTGGCTCCGTACATTTCTTCACGAAGGTAACACTTGAGCGATTCATGTGGCCGCTTCTTTTGAACAAAAGACACCTAGGAGCCCTTCGGCAATTGGTCACCGAAAGCTCTACGTCCACATTGCAGGGCTATCAAGGTCGAATGCTTGTGGAATGGGTGGGCGAAGGTTTCGAAGGTTTGCCATGGTTCGCCACTTTGCCTCTCTATCCATGACTTTGGGTTTGAGTTGGGTTGAGGATCCTTGACTTTGAGATTGACCAGAGTTGCGAAGATCTGGAGGGTAGGAAGGCAGAGTTTACACCCATGAAGAATGGCAGCAAACCCACTGGTGTTGGTGAACATAAAGGCCCCAACCTCTCCGCGTCCGGGATCATTAGGTAAAAAACGCGAAGACCAAAGAGATGAGTCCATGAATCACAGTCACCGAGTCAGCTAGCGCCAGTTCGGAGCTCCGTCCTCCCTTCAGAGCGCTTGACTGGAGCGAACTTGGCATCTCGAAGCTCAAGGGAAGGTGGAAGGAAGCTGGGTGAATGCCATCGCTACTAGGTTGGAGGCCATCTCTCTTAGCTATGTAAAAGACCCGTCACTGTGCTTCCTGTTTGGTGGAGAAAGCCTTCGTCGACAGCATGTTTCAGTGGCCTGTATGAGTGGTATAAGCGAGGTCCAGCACATTTTCCCGCAGTTGCGTTCCGCGAAGGAAATGCTCCCAGAAAAGATCAATTGGAAACGGCTGTGGGCTGATGGAGTAACGCCATACCAGGGCATCCTGCCACTCGGCTCAAGGGTACGACTTGAGTCCGTTTCGCTTCTGGCAGGTGGGTGGGGATCAAGTTCTGCTGGATGTTCTTGAGCCTTTTTACATGTCAGGTAGCTTCTTCTTCGGGTGTTCGAACGGAAACGCGACGAAACTTGCGCGAAAGATGACATATCTGAAAATGTCTCCAGCTCTGTGCCCGAAGGCCAGCAGAGCAGGTGACAGGAATCCCTCAACGTGACAGCATCAAATACGTGAAGAGCATGGAACAGCCAATGTGCTGTAAAGTTTGTCTTTTTTGTGTCTTCTTCATGAGACCTGTCTTTTTCTGTGTTTCTCCTTTGTTGCAATGCCTACAAGCCTGCAAGAATACTTCCTACACTACTGTCTTTCTTGGTTGTTTCCGAAACGCCCATGCCTTGCCCCTTTTGAGGATGGGCGTCAAGGACTACGGTGCAGTGACACTTGAGTGCAATGATGGGCTTCTCATGAGAAAGTCTTTCACTTCATTGCTTTGGGTTAAAATGCTCATCATGTTTCAACGAAGAATGTGGAACGACTTCTTTCATTCTATGGCTCCCCAAATCAGACCTTACCATGTTCCACGAAAAGAGCTTCAAATTCGGGATGGTTTAAAAGGATCTTGCTGAATCTCTCATTTGGTGATCAAGTCGAAAACCCTGAGGCCTTGATCAATATGTTCAAAGGGAAAGCATTGTGACACCACCTCGTTCAGACACTTCTCGGGATCGTTTCTGATTATGGCCAATGATCCAAGAATCAATATGTGAACCGTCCAGCCTAAGCCATGCAACAAATGTGGGAATTGAAATAAGATCTATGTTTGGTCACAATTGTTTTCAACTGGCAAAATGCAGACTTTGTCAGGTAGTGCAAGGCTTGCCAGGTATTAGTTTGTGTCAAATTCTGGCACATCATTTTGCGCCACGTTTCAGGATTGCCCTCAGCCAAACTCAAAAAGGTTTGGTGCCAGTGTCATGGCACGAGTTGAAGTCGGTCGGCCTCGTCAAGGGAGCAGTTGAAGCGATGTAAGTAGAAAGGTAAAAAAAAAGTAAGAGAAGAAAGAGAAAAGGGGAGGATTTTTTGAACCTGCTCCTGCTTAATTAAGTAGGCATCCACTTGATTAAGTAAGGGAGAAGTTCGCTCCTAGCTACTCAAGCTTCTAGTAGCTGGACGCAGGATAGCTCGTGCTTCTTCAAAATGCAACCCCCGAGGTCATACGAAAGGGTAGAATGTTGTGAACACACTGGGGGCGTGGTGTTTCCAAGGGTCCAGGCCTCAAGGCCTTTGACCTTCCAATACTTAAGCTTCTAGTAAGTGCACACGGGATAGCTCGCACTAAGAATTTGGTTTCTAGATTTATAGGGAAGCCGGGAAGCCCAGGAGCCCCGTTCGTAGCGTCCTTGCTCCTAGTAGAAACTCAACTTGACGCATCGCCTTTCTCATTGCCACATGCCACACGTTCTTTTTGATTCACACACGACACGTCTGCCATGGAAGAACCTCAATGTTTCCCGAGACTGCTTCGATGGAGAACTCACAAACCCACCGTTAAAAGGTCCACGGAATTCAGAAAAGAAAGAAGGGTCAGAACGAAGAAAAAGTAGCAACTTTTACAAAAGAAGTCTGAGGCCATCGCTAATAGGTTGGAGGCCATCCCTATTAGGTCTCCGTAAAAAGAACAAAAGGAACACACATGTGGTCTTTCACGGAGCACCGCTAAAGCATCGAGGCCACGAAGCTCAAAGATCGGCATCTCGGAAGCGTAGAGACTCCTCTCACGGCGGCTTGATGCAACCAAATCTTGCAATTTGTTTGTTCTTCTGTGCTCAGTTTGTTTCTTCGGTTTTCTTGTTCAATTCATCAAAGTTTGTCGAGGCCCTTTTTGATGCTCCATATGTTTTTCTTGCAGTGACGTTGATGCTTGGCCTTTCTAGGTCTACATCATCAGTAAGACCTTCGACAACCAACGGCTGAGATTGGCCTTGGACCGTGCTGAGACACCCATGCAGCGTTTGGAGCGGTTGAAGTGCGATGGCCGTACGCCCTACCGGGGCACCGTGTGTCTTGGCTGAACCAGTCAACGTTGCTGAAAGTGAAGAAGTGCCTTTCAAGTGTCATGTTTTTAGAAGCTGAGGCGCACCTGTTTTGCTTGTTGAATGTCACCGACAGATTACTGCAAAATTGTTATATCGTACCAAAAAGTCACTCCAGCTCTCGAAGAGAGAGAGAGAGAGAGAGTGAGAGAGGAGGAACCTTTTCTGCCTGAAGTGCACTGATGCACGCCAGTTTCAAGGAAGCGGAAACAAGCAAAAATGTGAATTTGTGCAAGGTGATAAACTTGATCTGTGGTAGCAGGAAGCGAAACACTCTTAGCTTATATAGAGATATTTCAAGGTCTCTACAAACTATCACATTCATCTTACGGAACCTTGAGATCCTGACATTGAAGCTACACAGTGCAGGTGTCTTGGTTATGATTGCATAGATGCTCGCCAGGAGCCCCACAGTCATTTATCACTTGTTCTTTGCAAGGAACACTTCCTTGCTCGAACAGTCACTGTGGAGTACCAGAAAACTTTAGATCTTCACAAAAGGTGTTCTTTCGTAGCAGTAATGCCCTTTGTTTCTAGTAGCGTCATCTCACATCATCTCACCCTTTGACCATTTTCCCATTTACTCCGCTTTTTCCCGTTTTCCATCCACCGATTCATCACGACCCATCTAACCCACATGTCCATCGCCGTCACGCCCAGATCTCTCACTTCAAAGTACTAGTACTAACAAAAAGCTAGTAGAAACAAGTGCCACGCTAGTAGTAACAGGTGCCCTACTAGTAGTAACAAGGTTCGCTAGTAGAAACAAGTGCATCGCTAGTAGTAACAGGTGCCTTACTAGTAGTAACAAGAAGCTATTCTAAGCTATTTTTATTTAATTCTAATAGCTTCTTGTTACTACTAGTAAGGCACCTGTTACTACTAGCAATGCACTTGTTACTACTAGCTATTATTTCCCTTAAGAAGAAGTTAACATCACATGTCTTTGAGTCTTGGAGTCTTCACGTCTTCTTCCGAGGACCTCGGTGGCCTCCTTCGGTGTTTTTGTGGACATCGGCTTTGAGCGCTCCGGCTTCCTGCCACAGCGCGAGCTGCCCTCGGAGGCGCGGTGTCCGAACGTTATAAAGATCTCGAGAATGGGACACACTGAGAAAGGCAAACGCTCATGGGTTGAAGACTCAGTAGTAACTTGGCTATTAGGCTGGAAGCCATTGCTAGTAGGTTAGAAGCCATCGCTGTTAAGTCAGAGGCCATCGCTAGTAGGTTGGAGGCCATCGCTATTAGGTTAGAGGCCATCGCCAGTAAGTTGAAGGCCATTGCTATTAGGTCAGAGGCCTTCACCAGTAAGTTGGAGGCCATCGCTATTAGGTTAGAGGCCATCGCTATTAGGTTGGAGGCCATTTCCATTAGGTTAGTGGCCATCATGGCAGGTAGGTTGGAGGCCATCGCTAGTAGGTTGGAGGCCATCGCTGCTAGGTTGGAGGCCGTCGCTATTAGGTTGGAGGCCATTGCTAGTAGGTTGGAGGCCATTGCTAGTAGGTTAGAGGCCATCGCCAGTAAGTTGGAGGCCATCGCGGGCCATCGTAGGTTGGAGGCCATCGCCAGTAAGTTGGAGGCCATCGCTATTAGGTTAGGGGCCATCGCCAGCAAGTTGGAGGCCATCGCTATTAGGTTAGAGGCCATCGCTAGTAGGTTGAAGGAATTTGTTAGGAACGTTTGGTGCAAAAGCCGAGACCTCCCAGGCGACGTTGCAGGCTGGAGATGAGGTCACTGTCTATGTCCCCAGCGGCTTGGTCAGCAAGGACCGGAAGCAGAAAGGCGGGAGAAAATGGGAAAGTAAGGACTGTAAATGAAGGTAAGATTGGAAAGGAGATCAGAAACAGCACTGATTAAAAAGAGTTGTTGGTGGTAGTGAGGGGTAGTTAACTCCTTGTTTGAGGCAAACATATTTGCATTCTTTTTTATTTGGTGTTAACTGCAGGAAAACCTAGTCATTTGGCTGTCAACTCTTTCATCATTCTGATGACTGCTCGCATCGCTCCCAGACAAGCACTGGCGTTCCGGGCGCTTCAACGTTTCCCTGCAGCCACTGCAGAAGCCGCATTTGCCAAAGAGGCTTCTGCAGGTGGACGGGCCGCCTGGTGAGCACCGGCATTTGGCAGCTTTTTCTGTGTTTTTTCCGTGCCTAGCGAAGGGTTCCTGTGTGCGCGGTCTCGTGTCTCTGGACTCGTCATGTTGACTCTGTGTTCGTCTTGGAAGACGTGTCCAGCCTGGAAACATCATGAAGCGTGGCGGTTGCAAGTGTGACGGCTGATTTTTTACTGCGCAGGTGCAGCGTTTTGTGAGGTGCCCACTTGGCTGCGCTGTGTCATTGGGATTGGCCTCAGGGTGGCCTTTTGGAAGTGTTGAATGTCTCTTACAGGATCTGGGTGAAGCAGCAATGGACCAAAATCACTCCAAACATGTGAGGCGGTGCAAATTCTGCTCGACACGCGAGGTGCAGTCACTTTGCGTGGCAGGCGCGGGGAATCGTGTATTCGTGTGGTGGCGAGGTTGTGCGCTGGTGATTTTCGCTGTATTTTTGGGATTGGCATGTCAGCGCTTCCTTGTTCAAGGGAGTTGGATTGCAAAGCTGCTTGGCAGGGCTGCTCGATGTGCTCGCGCTGATGAGGCTTCCCGCTTCACTTTCGGAGGACGTCTTGTACGAAGCGCTCATTTTGGAGAAGAGACTCGCTTTGACAGAGGTGTTCCACAAGGGTTTTGCCACACAAGTGGATGAACCACTTTGATAAGTCATTTCGGTCATGCATTTGGAACTGCTAAACCTGTTCTTTCATGCAAAGGGGTGCGTCTGTCAATGTTACGGCCTGTTCCCTTTGCAGCCGAGACCTAGCAGTGTGCTCTCAGCAGGGCATCTGCTAATAGACATGGGGCGTAGACATGGCCCTTTGTGTTCAACAACAGTGTAAGTGCAATTGACGTGTTGCCATGCTACGATTGTCAGGCTCAAGCTTCTGGAGGAGGTTGGGCTGGTTGCGGCTGGCAATCAGGGGACGCATCGGGCTGTGCAGAAAATGCGCCTTTCTCTTTGGCTTCACCATATCTTAAAGTTGGCTGTAAGGAGGACGCCTGGAACTATTGCTTATCTAGCGTCCTTTCTCAAAGGCCCTGAGATGTCCTATTCTGAGGTGGCTAGTTTGGAAGCTTTGAACATTCTTTACTAATATGTGGCACTGTAGCGCCTATGGATGTGATCCACTCCAGGGGACGGCGCTGGCCAACCCGAGCCATATCCAAACCATTGCTTGCCAAGCCAAGGCAAAGAGCTGCCGGATTGCGCACGGAATGTAGTGAGATTCAGCAAGGTTTGGGCAGGAGCCCCTTGGTTGCGCTTATGGGATGTGGACCATTGCGCCACTTGACCCGTGTGCATCAGGCAACACGCCGCACCAACCACGCCGCCCAAAAGCATTCTAAGGGTCACAGCCCGTACCGTAAGCTTAGCAATACCATGTGTCGTAAAAGGATCAGGCCCAGTAAGGCCAGCGTAGGTAGACGTGCAACAGTGTCCTGAAGTGAAGTGGACGCCAGCAACGATCGAAAGGCCAATTTTCAGACATTTGTTCAAATGAATGCGCAAAAAACATACAATCTAAAGACAACATTTAGCTCAGAAGGTTTGCTAAGATCACCCTTTGGTTCCTGTTGCATACCTTAGAAAGAGGTTTCTGACCTGACATGTCTTCAAAGGGTCAGAGCCCGTACGTATGCCCATGGTCTGCGGTGTTGTAAGGGCCTATCGCGCGTAGTGTGCCAATGATGTCTTGGAACTGGTGGCCCGGAGCTATTGAAAGGCAAAAGGCAAATTTTCCAACTCCAAAGGAATGCGCGACCCGGGTTTTCAGCAACGCATGCCACCTAAAGACTTGAATTTAATGTAAATTTAGCGTGGCATGTTTGCTAATCCTAGAATGAAACCTTAACCTTCCTTTCCTGCGTCGCGCCCTTAGACAGAGCTTTTGACCTGAAAAGCGTTCCAACAACCAGGCCCCGCAACGTAAGACGTAAGCAGGGGTTTTCAGCAACGCGTGCCATCTAAGACTATATCTGGCAGAGCTTGTCTACTAACCCTAAAATGAATCCCTCGGTTCCTGTTCCATATCCTTCGAAGCAACTTTTGACTTGACAAGTGTTCTACGGGCCAGAGCCCATACTGCAAGCTTAGCAATCGAAGGTTTGCTCAAACCACCCTTTGTCTCCTGCCGCATGATTCATGTCTTAGAAAAAGGTTTCTGACCTGACAAGTCTTCAAAGGGCCAAGGCCGGTGGGCCCGTACTCTTCTTGGCCGTCCGTCTTCTTTACGGGTGTGCTGGGGAGAAAAGCAAGCTTGAGGGCTTGACGCTTGACCTGCGTGAAGTTCGGGTCTTCTTATCTCGGAAATCGGAGTTCCCCCTCAGTTTGGCTGAACTCCGCAATGGGCAACTAAGTTCGACGTGTATTGTTGCCCCATCCTAAAAACAGCGGGTGCGTTTCCAGCAAGTCAGAACAGGAAGCTCTATTGCCTCATGCTCCTGTCATCCCTGATACTGTGCCGAACGTATTTGGCCTACTTTAAAGACTGCAATGACGGGCTGGGAGCTCGGCTTTGCCGTGCCAAGCAAACGCTTGTATTCAAGCAGCTTGAGCAAGTGTGCGAAGCCTTTTTTGAGCGGAGCATAGCAGAGGTGGCTGGTTTGCAAACAGGCGCAAACATGTATTGAAAAGCTGTATGCAAAAAATGCGCAGCAGAGTCTCAAGAACCCAAAAACCGACGCAAGTTTGAAAGATTTTTGATTGCCGATTACAGTTGCAGATCGAGATTTGGCAGGGGCAATCCATATTGTGGTGAGTTCCTTCTTCTCGGGAAAATCGCATTCCAGGGTCCAAAACAATTTGACCCAAAAGGTGAGGTAATGGAAAGCGATGTTGGTAAAGGTTGGAAAGGTTTGCTGCCAATGCATCCATTAGAGTGCCTGATCACAACCTGACGCCATGTCAAGTGGAACCAATGATACTCTGTTCAAACGTTTTGGTGGTGGGTGAGGTCGCCTCTCACGGGTCACCGGTTCGCTGGATGGATCGCATGTCGCTGTACTTCTACCACAAGCTGAAGACGGACTTCTGTGGCTGCAGCAGCGCTGAGACTCTGTTCGTGTTGGTTCCCCGGTTCCAGGTACGGCCTGTAAGCACTGAAATAAGTAAAAGTATTAACAAAAGCAAAAAAAAGACTGGAAAATACAAATTCACCAGTTGTAATTTTTACAACACACTTTTGATTTTTGCATTTTTCAAGAATACAACTCCCAAAAACGAGCAAAACCGCAAGCAATATTCACGTAAATTGCCACTTGATACGCATTGAATGGGTGGGATGGGAAGCTGCCCCCCTTGTCTTCTGGAGCAGCCTGTCGTGCTTGTCGGGTAGCCTGACCACGTTTCGCTGGTTGTCAAAAAATTCGCCGGTGGGCTTCGCCGGTTCGTAGCTCGTGGCTGAAAGTTTGTATGTTTTAAACACACGAAAAAATTGGACCTTTTTTCGTGCTTTCCAAAAATACAAAAACACAAGAAAATACAACCCGGAATTTACATTGTTTAAAAAGACAAAAAACGTACAAAAATTACAACCCACTAAAAAGATACAAAAAATGCGCAAAAATACGACCTGCCAAAAAAGAAACAAGAATGCGCGACCCACAAAAATAGAAAATACAAAATGTGCGAAACCAAATTTTGCGATTTTTCCGTTTTGCTGATGTGTGGACGAGGGTGTTTGCTGATTTTGCGGCCCGACTGCCTTTGCTTTTATCTCGCCACAGTGCAAAAAGACAGCAAATTCGCGAAAATGCTTCTTGACAACACATCAAGAGGACAACGTGACTCAAAATTCAATTGGCTTGGTGGGTGCTATTTGCATTGTGGCCCTCGTTTGGGTAATTTTGTTGTTTGGGAACCAGGGCCAGTTAGGACGTAAAACTATGCAAAAAAGTTGCGTTTCAGGCTTGCACGTTTATACTTCTTTGTGCGTTTTTGTTTCTTAGCCTCCACCTGAAGTCGGGGATTCAATCTTCGTGCTGATGCAACTAGGCTAGGCCTAGGCTCATTGACAATAGGTGACTGCTGCTACAGAGCCAGAATTTGGATGAACAAGGTTTTGAGAAAACTGGACTAAGGTGTTTGAAATCAATATTCTAGCCTTCCGCTGGAGCCCATCTGCGCACGAGGTTTCATCGAAGCCTGTGCAACGATAGACATGCCCGAGACAGAGCTGCCAACAGTATCATTGCTGAAGTGCTGAAAGAGGCAACATGAGATTGCCAAACTTCAAATGAAGAGCAAACGGACAGCGCTTGTATCCTGACACCTGGGCAAACTCGCTTGAGCGATCGCCATTGCGCACTTGTACGCTGCCAGTGGCCTGTGACTGAAGGCCAAAACGACCAACTGCTGGCTAGGAGACTATACCGCAACAGATTGCAATCTCATGTGTTCTTGCGCACGGCCGACGGTGTGGAGGCCTACTGCTAAAGAACTGGGCGATGCTGTCAGGCAGCCTGTGATCGAGCCTAGTCAAAGGGAAACGATGGTGTCTCTACCAGTAAACCATGTTTCGAAGCAGTCAAGGCATCGATTGCGCAGAAGCTACACGCGCTGAGCGGCCAGCTGGCGCTGGAGCCGGCAACATGCACTCTGACGCCGCCACGGCGGTGTTGAGTTGGGTGGGGGTGTGTTGGCGGCGCTCTCACCTAATAGTGACGGCCTCCAACCTAATAGCGACGGCCTCCAACCTAATAAGGATGACCTCAAAAATACAAGCAAACCCTAATCAAAGAGAATCATAAAGCAAACAAAAGCCAAACCCTAATCCAATGAATTTCTGCCCTGATCACCTGAAATTCTTTCTGTCCAAATGAACGCGCAACCGGTTTTGGGTGACGAAGACCATCAAAAGACAAAAGGCTTGAACCCTTCGGTGCCTGTTGGAAACCCTTTGAAAGGGCCGTTTGCCTGACAAGTGTTCTAAGGGTCACAGGTTGCACCCTAAGCTTAGCCTTGCATGGTGTCCAGAAATGGTTGCCCAGAGGCATTGAAAAAGGAATTTCCGGACACCTGTCCAGATGAACGTGCAACCGTTTTTTGGCAACGCAGGCCATCTCAAGACACAAGCTTTGAACCTTTCGGTGCTTGTTGCAAACACTTAGGAGGGGCCGTTTGCCTGACAAGTCTTCTAAGGGTCAGAGCTTGCGCCCAAGGATCAGGCCTCGTAACGCCATAGATGTGCCACGCATGGTGTCCAAAAATGATTGCCCGGAGCCATCGAAAGAGCAAGTTCCGGACACCCGTTCAGATTTTCACGCTGTATCGTTTCAAACCATGAAGCTTTACCTTTGCCGTTTCAAACCGTGAAGCTTTAGCTTTGCCCACTACCTGTCTCTTTTGCCCAGGTCTTTCGATCAGCCAAACTGTTATTACGCCACAGCTAGGCGCTCAGTCTTGCTTTGTTCTGAGAAGCAGAAAGTTGGTGAAGCACCAGAAGGACACGGCAGTTCGAGTTCAGGTGCAATGGATTCCACAGAACCTAAAGATGATCGAGTTCACGCTCGTGATGACGGAGGAGAACAGCAAGCAACAAAGTACTACAAGCACAGTGAAGAGAGTTCAAGTCATCCTTCGACAGTTCCACGAACTGGCATGTACTCTCTGACATTTGCTTGGAGACATTCGTGAAGCTGAACACATTGTGGATGAGCAGATTGACATGCAAGAGTGCCAGAATGTCTTTGAAGAGTGTCTTTCAAGAGCGTGAAGCAAGAGTGTCAGACAATGTTTGGCAGTTGTGTTTGCATACGTGCGTGCATTAGGGTTCTTGGGCTTCTATCAGGCTTCAAACGAAGCTTCAATGGATGTCGCATGTGTCATTCACATGTGTTCAAAGCACTGGGCCCAAAGATCGTTGGAGATGGAAATGGTGACTGGTTTCGCTCCCGATGTGTCAAACATGAGTCGATGAGCGAGTGAAGACCTGGGCCCCTTTAGTCCTTTTGGCCCAAAAGTTCCCCTTCGGTTTGGAATTTGCACGCGTCCGACGCTTTCCTTTCCCTTCCGTTGCTTTCAAATTGGTTTCTCTGACATTCTTCTCGCAACTACATACAGCTTGCTTGCGGTGCTACTATGTCACCATGTCCTTTTCTGCCATGTTTTCCCCTGCACTTTCCAGCCTATTCCACTAGGTATGTTTTTCCCTTCTGCCAAGTCCCCACCAAGGCTCACACCCTACCAGGGCATTGTGCGGAGCTTGGCGCAGGGCGTTGCGGTCATAGACTTTGGTTTTGACACTTGGCCCTAAGTCGACCACCTTGACCCTTTCGGTGTGTTCAAGTTGACCCAAAACGCAAAAAGTGATGAAGAAACGTGATGAGCTGGGCCAACCCAAGTGTCGGGGGGATCCAAACCTTGAAGATTGGCAAGGACGTCGTTGTCCGCGCTGTCAATTGCAATTTTTCAGGACGTGTGTGGCACCTTGCAGGATGTGGATGACCTGGAGATTGGCAGCGACTTTTGGCAGCAGACTCTTCAAGGCCCAAAACCATCAATAAAGGTGCATCGCTACGAGGAGCAAGGACGCTACTAGTAGCTAAGTGCGTCGCTACTAGTAACAAGACTGGTGGGTTCTAGAGGTCCTGGCGGCAGGCTCTCGTTGTTTTTTGCTGTTTTCAGATCTTCGCTTCGTTTTGCAAAAAGGAGCTCACGGTCTATGCGGTGCGACGTTTGCATCGGAGCCGTCGGGTTTGGCTGTCGCGGCGGCCCTTGGTGCAGCCGCTGCTGACACTGAAGGAGGTGGTGGCAGATGGGCAGCTTGGTGCAGGGCTGACGGGTTGACCAAGAGACAAAACACAGGGTGTTTCTCGAATGGCCGGGGAAAGATGCAAGAGATCAGTTGCGGGTTTCCCAGACAAGAGCAAACAAACATGGTTCAGGAAAAACAATAGAGGTTGTAGCAAACCCTCCCAAGCAAAGATGCATTAATGTGTGTTTGAGAAGTCGATAAGATGCACAATGCACTGCAATCTTTCTGGTTTGCACAAGTGTGGAATTGTAGAAGCATGCTCGTATCTTCCATCTATTGACATGGAGATGTTTGATCAATGGCAGTCTTTGGCTCAGACCACAAACAATCCCGGTCTGCTGTGTCCTGGAATGATTGCTCATGCACATCATTCGACAGCAAGCTGCGGCGGCTGAGCAGCGTGGGATTTTCAAGTCTGCATCGGCTTCCGATGTTTTGCTCAATTTGGCTTGGACTCGAGATGGCCAAGAACAAGCCGCATTGTACAGCTCGCTACCCCACGTCTCAAGTGTTGATTATTTTGTGAGTCATTCGTGGTCCTGTCCACGCTGGAAGAAGATCCTGGCGATTTCTCATTATTTCAATTTGAATTTGGCAATCTGCATGTGGGGCTTCACATGTATTTTGATGTCCTTCATGCTTATTGCATATGCAGGAGGCCTTAGCAGCGTAGCACGGGAATGTCAACCGGTGCTGTATGGCACTCTACTACATGTTCCGATGGCTGTGTTTCTCATCACCTACCTTTTTGGCCATTTGCTCTCCGGCAGGCGCTTTTGGTTCGACTGCGTTTGTGTGAACCAATCGAACGCATTGGAGAAAGGAGCGATACTCCAAGCAATTCCAGCCTTTGTGGCAAACTCCACGCACATGTTGATCTTGTGGGATGAGACTTGGATTTCCTGATGTCCTGGAATTCACAATATGTTTATGTACATCTCCCCCATACTGATAGAGAAGAAAGTAAAGCTTGGAAGAGAAGGCTTTGCTCAGGCGTGTTCATCACTTTTTGATCCCTCGCGGAGTGCTGAGATATCCAAGGAGAGGTACTTCGATCGCTTGTGGTGCAACTACGTGGCTCGGCTGTTTGAAGTCTTGGAATTGGACGTTTCTTTCCATCCGTTTTTGCTTTAGACCTTTTTCTTTGGGTGCTCAGAATAAAGGATTGCCCCTGTATTGCCAACCGATAGTTGCCATACTTGCTTTGTTCAGGCAAAGAAAAACCAGCGTAGTCATATGTAAATGTAGATGAGCTTGATCTTGCTTGGCTGCTTGGCATACCCATGTGGAAGAACTGCCCAAGCCCAAGCCCAAGCCTAGCCTCCCCGCCGACATCGTGGCGTGAGGAGCTGGCGGTGTCTGCCTTGACCTCAAACTCAAGTGGCGAGCTACGGGAGATGCACTTCGTGCCAACCTGGGCGCCGCTTTGGACCTTGTCCTCGGTGGCCGCGACCTTCGTCCTCGTTGCATGCAAAGAAAAGAGGGTAAATCATGTGATCCAAGAAGTGAAGGAATCAAGTGTGGAGCTGATTGGATGTCAAAACCTGTCTAGGACATTTATCCTACTAGTAACAAGAAGCTCCTAGGGGCTCCTGGCCTTACTACTAGTAACAAGAAGCTACTAGTAACAAGTGCATCGCTACTAGTAACAAGTGCCTTACTAGTAGTAATAAGAAGCTAGTAGAAACAAGTGCCACGCTAGTAGTAACAGGTGCCTTACTAGTAGTAACAAGATTCAGGGCAATGTCCGCAAGGTGAGAGTTGCCGTTCCCGTCTCATGGAGCGAAAGTTCTGTGTTCGCAAGGCTGAAACCTACGATGGAACAAAGCCAATGGTGGATTCACACTCAAGAGCTTCACTCTTTGCATCCTGGACTCAGACTTGCAGGTTTTTGATATGATCCATACACGTTGGAAGAAGGTCTTGTTACCCGCATTCTAGATACTGCCATAAGAACAACACCAACCTCAACATGTTTTCAAGCACTACATAAAGAATCAGCACTAAACCAGCAACATCACTAACAAGAAAGGAATCTTGCTCATTCGCCATTGTTTGATGCCTTTGATCCGGGAAAAGTGTTCAATATTGTTCTTTTTGCCTTCGTGAACTCAGAACCCAAAACCTGAGGTATCTTGGTTCAATTTCGAATTTGCACCACTCTGGACATGTTTTGTGGTGGCCATCCCAACCGCCTGGTTTTGCTTTGGGAAAATTGATGGGCACAAGCTCATGTTGGACCAGATGGAATCCTTCGACTTCCGGAATGCTCAATGTACCTTGGAGACCGATCGTGTGGTTCTCCAGCGGCAAGTCCTGGACCTCTTCGAGGAGGATTTGGATCTCAGTTCAGTTGAAGAAAGATGTATAGCTGAGACTTCGGAGGATTCAAACGAGGATTTGGATCGGACAACAGCTGTCACTCCATTGACTTTGGGAGAAAACGAACCAACGGAGACTTCCAAATCCGAAAGATCTTTTCTAGCACAAGCCATGGCCATGGACAACTTCAATGATTGTGTAAGAGGTCCTTTGCGCGAGAGTGTGATGAGCTTGATGGGCCAAGAGGGCGCTGATATGCCTTTCAAGCTGCTGGTTGTGTTCGGTCTACCCATTTGGGGCTTGGGTCTCATCGAAGTCTTTGGTTGTGATGGGAACACGGATTGTCGCGTCTCCGCCTCCAGTGAAGGTTACGCTTCGATGGCTCGGTACTTTGTCGGGAACGCAGCCATCAACATGTTGATTCCTGTCTTGACTGCCCTGGTTTTTCCGCTGGCACTTCGAATCAACTTCATGGTCACAAAGCTGGTAGCAAAGGGCCCTTGGCGCATGGTCCTTGGTTCAATCTTCACCACTGGTCTCTTCATGATTATTGATGCCCTGCAGGCTGAAAGAATCAAGTCAACACGAAGAAGAAGTTTAAAAAACAAACAAACACGACCAATTAGTACTGTATTTGGTTTATGCGTTCCTTTTCTGTTTGATGCTCAGGCTGCTGGTCCCGGTGCCATGGTGGTGATCCTGAATCGATTTTCCACCACCTGGCTCATCGGCTTTCTTGGAGCTTGCGGTCTCTTGTGTTGGCTGGCAGCTTCCCTTCGATTCATTTTCTCATGTGTTCTACTTTAACTCAACCTTCAACAATCTAAGCAACGGTGCCATGAGGCTAGCAACATGACTCGATTTTGGGAGGGCCAAGCAAGTTGACACCATACTCAGCATGCCTTTGGGTCCATTCAGTGAAAGGCATCCAGGCATCCCAACATTGCCGTTATCTCTGCCGGGCTCCCATCCCAGGCATCGCTACTCTTCTTCAGGAGGGTGCCAGACCCTGTTCCAGCACTCTGACCAACGGAAAAAAGAAAAGAGACCGGTGCGAGCTACCTAGCTGTGGTCTGCAGCTGCTTTTTGAGACCTAAGCCATCGCTCCATTCAGGTTCAGGTAAAGGATTGCTCTGAGGCAAACGCCCTATCAGGCCAAGCTCAAGCAACGCAACTGGGATGAAAGAGAGCCGGCAAAGCAAGCAGCATGTTGCGATGGTTTGGCCACAACATAAGGCAATGCCAAACTTTGGCCTGGAAAGGTAATTGCCAAGAACTTTGAATCTTTCTTGGTGTGCTTGTGTGTGTGTGTTGTTCCCGTCCTGTGAAAGGACAGAAACATCCTCTTGTTTGGCCTAGGGGCCCAAGATTGGAAGCCATCCCGAGGTCTCCAGGGGTCTCAAGCGATCTGATCTGAGGTGATGAAGGCTATGGTGCCTCGCTTGACATTGGGTGCGAAGAGCCACTGAGTTCATGTTGGTGAGTTGGTTGGCCTTTTAAGATTCAGAGGAGGGGCGACTCTACTTGAGAAGAATATGAAACGGAAGGCAACACAGAAAGTATTGTGTCTCAAGATGGGAAAGACCAATGAAGACGTGATGTCAATGATCAACCACTTGGAGTCCGAAGCTCGAGGGTCGTGAGGAGGTCGCGTCTGGCACCAGATCGGGGGAACGGTGGAACTTGGCTCACCCAACCCGACGGTAGAGAGACGTTTGGGGAGGTCTTCAGACCTGAAGAACATCTGGCTGATCGATCTTTTTTGAGTCATGTGGTATCAATACTGCTTGAAAAGCCTTTTTCAGGAATCGTCAAAACAGTTTCCTGATATACAAAAATGCTAATCGCTTTCTAAAGATGTCTGAGGCTGGCTATCCTCCCAGAGGCAGAGTTGCAAGGCTACGGCGACCTCCCCAGCTCGACGCTTTGCCATGAAGTTGGTTTTGGAGGAATAGACAGCCACTGCCACTGCTGCTCCCACACCGAGCACTCCTCCTACTACTAGCTAGCACAACAACAACAACTACTACTACTGCTACTACTACTGCTACCATAAGACTACTATCATTACTTCTTCTTCTTCTTCTTCTTCTTCTTCTTCTTCTTCTTTTCATACTGCTATTTGCTTCCGCTGCAGCTTTTTGAGGCTTGAAGTTTACATTCAATCAAAGCAGACCTTCAGCGGCTTGCTGGTGGCCTCTATGCAGCGGCGCCCTGTGCCGCGCGAGCAGTTGAGTGCGCTGTGTGCAGATGGATGGACACCCTACGAAGGTTGTGGAATCCGGGAAAACTTCCAGAAGTTACAGCAAACTGGACATGGGTAACTGACATGACTTAGTACTTTCCTGCTTTTGCCATCTATGGGGTAGCCAGGATCATCGACAGAGTTCGAAGAAATCACACCTTGAAATTTAGGAAAGAACGGACGACTGGATATTCACAACGCTTCGACGGAATGCAGGCGTCGTGTTGAACCGGACTGACTGGGGCACGCTCGTCGACATTGGCTGCGAAGCTCCAGGCATGGAAAGCCTTGTCAAAAAGTGATGAAAATTGTCAAGTGAGAGAGATGAAATATGATGAAGCTCACCTCTAGCGTTCGGCGTAGGTGGATTGACTGGTCTTTGTGCGTTCTTTTCTTTTTTCTTCTTTAGTCCTTCTTCAGACCGTTAAATCGGTTCTTTCTTCCTTTGTTATTATTCGTTTCACAAGTGAGCGAGATGAAAGGATGAAAGACACCTCTCGGCGTTCGGCTGGCTAGGGCTCTTGATGGCGGGTGAGGAATTGCCACAAGTGTCGATGACACCCAAACCGACAGCAGAAACTTGGTGAGAGGACTGTGAGCTCGAAGGACTTGGTGACAGTAAAACATATTACCAGTAGCGATGGCCTCCAACCTACCAGCAATGGCTTCCACCCTAGTAGCGATGGCCTCCACACTGTCAAAGGTCTCAGACAATTTCTGGTTTCCATAAGACATGCTGGAACACCAATTATGAAACTGGTCCAGTCCTTGCGCGGGGGTGTTCTTGTTGCATTTGTGGGCATAATGCATGTTTGATGGCATTGCTGGAGTCGTGAAGAAACATAAAGAAATTAAAGAAAGAAAGGTCTAAGGACAAAAGAATCTCAATGGCTTATTTGTTTGCTTGGGTGATGTGACTTAGGCCTTACTCTGCAAACTCGAGAACATCGAGGAGAAGTTGCCGCTGGGCGCCAAGACAACGGTCTACGTGTGGAACAAGAGCCGTTGCTTGGAGCGTTTGACACGGCTTGCGCAGCTGTCGTTCAGCAAGTTCAGAGCCCTTTGCACCGTCATGAATTCCTCCAAAATCAGAAGGACTGCTTTCAAGTTCATCTCATGCGGGAATTTCTTCTTGATCTGTAGTTTTTTACGAAAGGCTTGCGAGGTTTCTCCAAAAGGCCACCTAGGACCTAGGAGCTTTGTTCGGATTTGTCTTGACCCAAAGAAAGTCCAAAGATCTTAAAGATCCGAAGCAGTTAACTGAGGCTTTACAGGTCGCATTTACTTGGGTTTGGAGCCAAGACCCATCAAGGGCACTCCACTTCATGCGATGCCTATTGATGGAGTTACTCCCATTCTAGGCCCGCTGGGTGAGTGTCTTGCAAAAGGCTAGAAGCATTCTGGAAGGAGAACTCGGTTGGCCTGACTGCCGTATCCAGAAAACAAGACGGAAAGTAGGGCTCTCTTGGGTTTTCCACGTGAAGAGGATAGCCAGTAACTTGCATCCAGGCACAGGATATATACAGTACTTGTGCTGACTTGCTCATCTTGCTTTCTCAAACCTTTGCCTTTGAAGGCACCGTAACACGTTTGGCCTCCGGTTACGCCTATGTCGATGTGGGCTGCGAAGTCTTGGGCCGCTTGAGCGGCAACGAGACTGGCAACGAGAGGCAGGGTGTGAGAGAAAGGTTGACATCTTTGTGCAAAAAAACAATGGCCTCCAACCTAACAGCAACAAGAAAAATAAAGGCAAGCTGCTTATTCTTGCCAGTGAAGAGAGCTTTTCAGAGAGCATCTCTTTAGGGAGCTTGAAACTAGACGACGGTTGGCCCGAGAGCGAGACATGTAATTGTCCAGCACTGTCGAAAAGATGTATAGAAAGAGAGAAAGAGAGGGTGGATGTGAAGGAGTGACAGTGTGAATGTGCAGGTGTGATATAGATCTGTAGTGGATGTACAGATGTGATATAGATGTGCAGATGTGTGGGTGTGGTGAGGTGGAGAGGTAGATCTGCGGATGTGAGCGTGTGAAGATGTAAATGTAGAGAGGTGAGGGGGTGTAGACGTAGATGCGTCGATGCAACGGCAGCGCAACGTCAACCTTAGTTGTGCAAGCACAACGCTGCAGAGGTTCAAATAGAACTGAAGAACGTACACTTCACACTGAAGTTTGCACGAACAGGGCGACCTGAGAGTAAACGACGTCACGATCATGACAAGCGACTCGTGTATTCCAAGCGAACATCGTTTGTCTTAAGGTGAAGTGCACACATACTAACGTCACGATGACTCTTTTGTGGCAGCCACTTATGAGTAAGCAAAGTAGCTAAAATTGGTCAACCTCTCAAGAGAGCCGGGTGGCGCGAGAGATGACTCAGCCGCGAGAGATGACTCATCCGCGTACTAAAGTTGTACTACAAAGTCGCCAGTTCTCAGCTTCCAGCTCCACAGCTTGCTCAGCATACTAAAGTTGCACTACAAAGTCGCCAGTTCTCATCTTCCAGCTCCCCTGATACTCCGCGTACTCAAGTTGTACTACAAAGTCGCCAGTTCTCAGCTTCCAGCTCCACAGATTGCTCCGCGTACTAAAGTTGTGCTAGAAAGTCGCCAGTTCTCATCTTCCAGCTCCCAGATACTCCGCGTACTAAAGTTGCACTACAAAGTCGCCAGTTCTCATCTTCCAGCTCAAGTCGCCAGTTCTCAGCTTCCAGCTCCACAGATTGCTCCGCGTACTAAAGTTGTACTACAAAGTCGCCAGTTCTCATCTTCCAGCTCCCCAGATACTCCGCGTACTAAAGTTGTACTACAAAGTTGCCAGTTCTCATCTTCCAGCTCCCCAGATACTCCGCGTACTAAAGTTGTACTACAAAGTCGCCAGTTCTCATCTTCCAGCTCCCCAGATACTCCGCGCGCTAAAGTTGTACTAGAAAGTCGCCAGTTCTCATCTTCCAGCTCCACAGATTGCTCCGCGTGCTAAAGTTGCACTACAAAGTCCCCAGTTCCCAACGCACGATCCCCGCAGAGGGTTGCCCCACCGGGCCAAAACGCACTCTCGCCTGCATCTCGCGCACTCGACACGCACGATCTCCGCAGAGCGTTGCCCGCGACCGGGACAAATCGCACTTCGCGCATTCGACACGCACGATCCCCGCAGAGGGTTGTCCCGGACCGGGACAAATCGCGCTCTCGCCTGCATTTCGCGCACTCGACACGCACGATCTCCGCAGAGG